TCTCATCTTGAACACCTCCAAGGTAGGGGAAAGCACCACCTCCCTTGAAAACCCATTCCATATTTTGGCAACCCTTACTGTAAAGAATTTCTTCCTTGTGGCCAATCTAATCTATTCTCCTTCAGTTTGTGGCCATTATTTCTGGTAACCCCAAGGGGTGCCCTGGTAAACATTGTGTCCCCTACTCCCTGCTGAACACCGCCCCCACCCCCGATGAGTTTGTAGGCAGCCTACAAGATCACCTCTCAGCCTTCTCTTCTCTTGCCTAGGAGTCCTTCTATGCATATCTAGTATCTCAAAAGGTTCCACAGCTAGATATTAACTGTTATGCAAAGGGCATTTAAAAATGATGCAACTCCTGCAAGCTTGGAAGATCTTTCAGTCGTTAACAAAGTTTCCAGGTTCATTAATTGAGTGTGGTACGATATTCCCGTAATGTCTTTCCCTGGCTTACTTGTCATCTTTAAGGACAGGAAATGATTTTACTAGAGTGTAGTTTTCCTGATTTTTAGGAACCCAATGATATTTGAACAGAATAAAAATTAAAAACTTTTTTGGAATAGACTTGAGAATTCTTGCCTTCCCACACTTTAATGGAATCAACATGGGAGATATTCATCCTAAATGATCCTACTCTTATTGTTTATTGATTTTTATAACATTTGATGTTGACACTATAACCTTTTCTCTGTGTGAGGGTTTTTGTTCTGTTTGTTGATACTCCTAGGTCCCAGTGGTGTATGTTTGTCTTGTTGTTTTTAAAAATTTTTATAAAATGTGTATAATCTTTTTAATGAGTTACAAAAACTTCTTGGAGTAATATTTGATATTTAGAAAGCACCTTCCATACTGTTGAAACCAAAAAACCTTGCACATCACTGAACTGGATGCTGGCAATACAGTGCGAACTTTTTCAATACAAAGCAGGATGGAATTGCACCTTGTAGACTATATTGAAGGGACAGCTTTTCAATAGCAACTCTCAGCTTTGGATAATACAAGATTTTAATTGTAAAGCATATCATCTGTGTCCAGACTAACTTTACTTTTTTTTCTGGGGCCCTTCAATGCCAGCAGTGCTAAGCCTTATTGGAGCATCTCAACAAAAGTTAACTTGGTACTTAAATAGAATCATAGAATAGGAGGACCAGAAGGGACCTGTAAGATCATCGAGTCTGGTCCCCTGCCATGGGCAGGAGGTAATTGGGTTCAAACAAGCTCCACAAGGTGCTTGTGCAGCCTCCTCTTGAACACCTCCAAGGATAGTGACTGCACCACCTATGAGATTCTAGATACCCTTATGGAAAATAAGTTTTTCCTTAAATAGTTGCACATATATCATTTACTCAGGATTGTCTATTATTAACAGTACAATTAATAAAGGCACAAATATTTGTCTCTCCAGGGAGAACCTGCTGGTGTTTGCCTCTAGATTATCAGTGTATGGTGTAGCTACAATCTTTCTTGCTGATAACATATCACCACCAGCACCATTTAGGAGCTGAAAGCCACTTCTACTTTCTCTAGGGTGACTCACTAATTAGTTAACCCCTGGGACATTCTGTCCAGGGTGTAGAAACTTCCGGTTCCAACTTTAAAACATACAGCAAGAAATTATAGCAAAAGAGAAAATGTGGGGTTTTAACTCCTTTTTATCCTTGTAGGAAGTGTTTTGTCTAACAGTGCGTTAAATGGTTGAAAAAGTATTACTAAATCCATTGGGAAGAACCAATTTCCTTCTTCTCTTGTAGTAGGAAAGCAGGTAGTGATATTTAACACACGTGCTTTTACTGAGTGATAGGAGTATTTAAATAGCAAATTACTTTGGCATTTCACCATATCAGAAGAAGGAGAAGTCATAGCAGGCATGGAGAAGCCAGTAGTGTTAAAGTACCTGAATATTTCTGATCATTAACAAACCAAAGAATTGACAAACTAGGCACCTTTGGTGTGTATTGACAATCTTTAAAATGAAGTTATGAAGCCATGGTGCCTTGGGAAGGGAGAAGAAAACAGGCTTGGTTTAGGGCCATAGTCCTTCAGTCTGTATTCAGCTACCGGAGACTGGGAGGGACTTTGCACAGGAATTATCCTCCTTATCTCTCTCATGTCTTCAGGTGGTGCACATGACCATTAGACATCTTGAAAAAGCTGGCTGTGGCTGAGTCAATTGTCAGGTTATAGACAACATGAATCCACCACCTGAAATGGTGGCAACTTAGCAGAAGAACAAGTTGTCCCGTGTAGCCTTATGAAGCTGCTATAAACCTCTTTGCATTCTCTCTTGCAATGCATGTCTACAGCTAGTTTGCAGCTCCTGAGTTTAGATGCTTTGTCCTTCAAGCTTTATAGAATCCTGTTAGATTCACTGTCCAGAAGCTATTGCCACAAGGAGCTTCCCCCAAGCTTGTATGTAAGGTATCATTCTACATCTGTACAGCATGCTTCAGCAAAGTCAGTGCAGTGTAGGAAGATACAGTGTGATGGTGGGGGGGGAAAGGTGTTTGGGTGCCTCCTATACAATGCACTACTGAGCCAGAGGGAAACCTCAGGGTCTTAGAGAATTCACTCTTGGCAAAGAGTTAAAATCAAGGAAGGAGCGTTGTCTGCAGAGAGATCTGTCATCACAGTAATGGGACCATGGATTCAGCTCAGAGTGGAACACTGGATCCTGAACCCTCCTCTCTGCTGCATGGGGGAGCAGTAAAAGATGAGAGCAGGTGCTGCTCCCTTTTGTATAAGCTAGACAGGGGCCTTTGAGTTACAGCTAATGACAGCACAGGCCATCCATCATCTGGCAACATTTAGACCCCCTTAATACACAGTAATTGCTGAAGGCCCACATGCCGCTTTATCTCCAGGGTGACTTGTGGGAAGATCTTTTCTTAACTACTTCAGAGATTCATATCCATGTTGCAGTGACTTTTTTTTTCCCCCCACTCCACCCCTGTGCATATGTTTAGACAATAAAATGTAGTTAGACCTGCTTGTTGCTTAACAATTGTCCTGTTACTAATCAAGTCTAGAAGTCTATAGTCTGGGGTTTGGCTTGGAGAGAGAAGGTGGTTATAATGCTGTGACAGACATTGGAATTCCCCATATGGAAAACTCAGAGTGAACAATAAATATTCATTTGTACAAAGGGAAAAGCTGCTTTGGGGAAGCTGTTTTACATATGGGTTATTTTCCAGGGAAAGTGGCTCCCTAGAAGTGAACAGCTCACCTCCTGGGACTGTGAAGCAGGTGTAATATCTTAACCTTTTTTCCTTGGTTGGGAGAGGAGTTGCAGAAAAATGCTCCCCTTCATTCCAACCTTGGCTGCTTTAGTGCCGACTGGCTACAAAACAGAGTTTTTGAACAGGTAAAGGACTGTTTGTGTGTTAATGACCTTTGTGAGTACCAAAAGAGCTCTTAAAAAGAGATGATATACAGTTGATGTTTTTCAACTTCAGTTTAAAATGAAGAGCTGTAGCAACCCAACAGTTGACAAAGTATGATGCTGTGAACAAATGCTTACCACATCATAAGTAGGACGAGGGAGTCCTATGGCAGTAACTATACCATGCCTACAAACATACTAGGTACTCTAGAAAACATAAAATCAGAGCAATCCCCTGTTTGGGAAAGTTACAACCGACAGTGCATGCAGGGCAGGGAGGAATGGGGAGGGGACAGGCAGGGTTGCATTAGTGAGATCATGGAGTGAGTAATTCAGTTCAGGTACACTGCTTGGTAAAGGTTACGATGCAAATATCCTCTAGTTAATACTTATAGGTTTCATGAGAGGTAAACTTTGTAGAGGGAATTGAACAAAGAGAGGGCAGTAGGTAGATTGTCAAGGACTTTCCATAGGGAAGGGACAGCATGGAAAAAGCTGCCTGTGGGGTAGGGAAGAAGAAAATCCTAGCAACCCAGACAATGTGCAATGGTTGCCTGGAGGAGTCTTGAAAAATAAAATGTTGTCATCCTCTTGCAAATGCCTGACTTGCCCTTGAAGATGGGTAGGGCATTGAGGACCAATAACATTTTGGTGGGGAAGTAGATTAAGATCTACTTTGGAACATAGGACTGGAAGGGGCCTGCTTGGGCTATCCAAAACCATCTTTTACAAGGCAGAGTACAACTAACCCAAGGATTCCCCCAGACCTCCACTTCAAACTTGCACACACAATTACAAGGTACAAAGCCAGAACTACCAGAAATACCCTACCACACTAGCAAAAGCAGGAGAGATGAGGATGCTGCAGTTATTGCAGTGGCAGGGCATTGGAAGTATTTGGCTGGAATATACTCAGGATTCTAGGACATGATAGGGAATGATAATGTCCCTCACAACAGAGTGGCAACAGATGTCTTTGCCAATCTGACATATATGGGGACAAACTGAATTGTTTCCTTTCAAACTTGTGTAACCTGGTGTGCTTTTTCAGGAGCCAGTTAGATAGCAGTAGCAAAGAAACTAATGACAATTCAACTTTGGGCTCAACCTTTCTATTAACTCTCCTAGGAAAGCCATTTTGGGCAAGGTGCCTGTTACCTGCCTAATAAGACCTTTAAATTAGCTGTGGTGGCAGAGAGAAAAGAGCAGATACCCAGCTGAATTGGCAGTAACCAGTACAGAGTGTTTGGAGGCTGTGTGGCACATAAGGGAAACATGACAGTGCTCATTTGCTTTCAGTAAAATAAGCTAATGTTTCATTGAACTACAAGTTGATCAAGACAGAATCCCATTGGAAAAGGAAGAAAACTATAGGAAAAAAGACTGGAAAAGGCATGGAAGTGAAAAGGTATCACACAAGTCAGGTATATTAACGAAGGATATTTTATTTAGACTTCTCCAGGGAAAATCCCCTGAAGTTGTATCTAAAAGGTGGCACCTGCTTATTGGTTACTCTAAGTAAGCTAGTAGGGCAGATATTTAAAATGTTCTTTGTTGCAGTAGCAGGAGACTTTTCTCCTCGACTTCTGAGGCCTTTGAATAACAGCTTCCTTTTATCCAGTAGGTAAAGATTATCAGCGATCTTGGGCCTCCCTTCATTTGTGGGAACTGTCATTCGGTTTCTGAATGCAGCCTGAGTCTGCAAAATATGAAGAGGAGATGCCTTCCCTGTTCTGGGCCTTGGATCCTGTCTTTTCCACGTTTGCAAGACTCTACATTAAGGATATAAAGGAAATGAGAGAATCTAAGCAGGTTCCAGGTAAGTTTACATGCCCAATTACTGCAATATTCAGAGAAGAAATTGGCTTAGTGTTGCCGTAGAACAGTGGACTTTAAAAGTAGCAGTCTGATGTATATCCAAGGATGTCAAAGCATATGATAAAGGCTAATGGTATTTCCACGCCCCTGTGAAGCAGGTCATCCTTCCCAATTTACAACCGGGAAAGTCTGAGAGGCAAAAGTGAAATAACTTCTCTTAATTAATAAACAGTTTCAATTTCCAGCCCTGCTTTTAGGCTACTTTGATGTCCTCTTCATTGTTCCCTGTCACTGAAGCTTCTTCATCTTAGAGCTTGCTTTATTTTGCAATCTAGAAAACCTGCACTTCTCCACATGTGTGTTGGGATCGTATCAATTTTAATTGTACAAATGTTGTTTCCTCTTGTTTTATCCTTGCTCTGTATCTTTTAACAGTGTTTTTCCTTTTAAAAGATTTCTCACCTCTTCTGGCCAAATTAAGTAGTAAGAAATATTTAGCTTTTTTTCTGTTTGATCTCTTGAGTATCAATGAGGGATACTCTGTGTATTTAGGCAGCCTTGCAGTTTGTTCTAGTTCCTAGGCTGAATCTTACACCACACCTTTTATTTCCTAGTCATTGTTGGTAATTGTATGCTTTGCTGTCCGTTTCCTGCTGGATTCCTGCCAGCATCTCCCATGTACATACATTTTTTTTAAAGAGGTATGAGGCTGACCTTGGGCTGCTGTTTTCACTGGGAAGAACTTAAGTGGGCTGCTATTTCTTATATTGTGGTGGGGTTTATATACATCAAACTGAGACAGGCCAGGCAGGACGTAAAACTTTTGTGTGGGGATAGAAGGGAGATGAATAAAGGAAGGAAAAGACCCCTAAAGGAAGTGAGAGTTAATCAGGAAAACCAGCTAGTCCTCACTGGAGTTTTCTGAGAGGGGCCAGATGCATCTGTTTAGTCCCTTAAATAAAAGAAGGTCCTTTGTTTGCTTTGCCCTGAAGCAAGACTCCAGGTTGTGCTTTTTATATGTACTTTTTCTTAACATCAGGGATATTGCTACTGTCTATCTGGAAAGCAAGACTAGCTTTGTTATGCTCTGCTGACAACCAGTGTTTTTGTCTTCAGGGACTTCACGGCATATGCTAAGCTGAGTGCATTTATTTCTCTGAAAATAGTGTGGGTGCAAATAGGTGGATACTGTTAACACTTTGTATAAGAATTATTATGGTAGCATCTGTAGGAATGGGACCCTACTAGTGCTGTGCATATGCTTAATGAAAAGCAGCCCAAATAGTTTAATTGGTTATTTTTTAATCCTTTCTGTCTTTAAAAAAAAAAAAAAAAAAAAAGGGGGGAAACTTTTTTTTTTTTTTTAAAAAAAAAAAAAAAAAAAAAAGTGCAGAGACTGTTTATTTGTTCTATGTATTTTCTTCCCTTAGCACAATGGACCTCAAGTTCAAGTTTAAGACTCCAGGTGCTACCACAATGCAAACAGTAATTAGCAGTTCATAGGCAAAGAGTAAGAATTGTGAGCATCAGCAGCCATCTTCTCTTTGTTCTTATAATGGCCTAGACAACTACAGCACTTATCCCTTTCATCCTAAATATCACTCTCATGTATTTCTTATTTGGATAACTACATGACCTTTTACTGATGAGCAATCCCTTCTCTGCTTTAGGAAGATCTGCACTTTTTTGTCATTAATAATCTTTTATAAGATGTTCTTAAGGAAGCAGTGTCTGTCCATGCCAATCTGTCAGGCTTTCGAATTTGGAGCGTGAAATTTGAAAGCCTGTTTCCTGTGGAACTGTTGTTTAAACACAGACAGCCTTTTGCTGTCCTGTTTATTTTATCAGACTCTTCAGTTGATGTACAGATGAAAATTCATGGAACAGACAAAATCCTGACTCCTGTACCTCTCTCTTGATGCAGCACGTGTGACCAAATGAAATGCCTTCCAGTATGTCTTCTTCAACTACAGCAAATCCGATTGTAATTGAAGCATGAACAAACGAGTGTCTTCTGATGACACGATGGGGGAAGGAAGTATAGACTTGCCAAAAGTTCCTTTCTATTAATGGGTCTGTTAAAGAGCAGATGATGCTAACTATGGAATGACTGAGATTATATGAAGAGTTATAACTAAGAGCAACTGGAGGAAATTAAGAAGTGAAGCACTATGACAGCAAAATTTGTTAGACTGTAGAACAGCATCCCAGGGCCAAGGATGGAATTCCCATCACTCAGAGTATTTATAACTGGACTGTATAAATTGCTAGCGAATCTACTATACAAAATGATCCTGTGTTGGTCCCTGAGGAGACAAACTAAATGACCTAATAAGTCTTTTTCCATTTTTAACTGCTAAGATTCTGTAGAACAATAACTAATCCCTTAGAACAATGCCAGAGAAAATATGTAAGCCCAGCCAGTTCTTTCGCCTGCTCTAGCTGATGACAAGAAAGCTGAAAAACCACCCAGATAAAAGTAGAAATTGGGATTGCCCCAGAGGCCTTGAAATAAGAGTGGGTGTCAAACTCAACAGCAATACATAATTACAGCATGGAAATGAGCCTGTGTCTGAGAGTTACTGTACAGCAAGCTAGATCACTGACATTGCATGGTGAAAGCAGCTTATCAACAAGGAAAGGAAGCTACAAACTAGCAAAGAAGTTGATTTTACTTGATTTTAGTAGTAGCAACCATTAAAGAAACCATACTTAGTACTGTTTAGTTTTTATAAAGATCAGAGCCTATCTGTGTCCAACCAATTAGAACTCTGCCAAGACTTCCTGCAAAATTAATTCTTGTCCAACTGAATTTATAATGTAGATGGGTATTGACTGAGACAATCCACGCACTTTACACAGGCCTGTGAGTGACTGGCAGTCACTAATAGATGTTGAATGCTACCAGTCTGAGCAGAACTTAAAGTAATGATCTAGAGCAGAAAGGCTCCTCTCTTACCTATGCTTCTAAGCCAGCTGTTAATATTTTTCTATTGAACAACATATAACAGTATTACACCTTGCAAAGAACTGCATGTAAATGCTGCTTACATTTCAGTGAATGGGAGTTTCCTGTGGGTCAATATAAGGGTGGAGTGTCTGGGTTATATTCCTGGCTTTATTCATTAACTTGTCTGTCTCATGTTTATGTTCATTTCACAGACAGATACCAGTGCACTGAGCACTGCCTTTGTGCTCTGAATTGTATAAGTAGGCAGCAAGACAGCCCACATCCTGCAAATTTATAGCAAAACCAAAATGAAATACTTGCCTCTCTTTCATGGGTTTTGTAAGGGTTAGTTAATGTTTATACAGCATCACGAGCAACTTGTAAGAGTTTCCATAGGTCCATTATTTCTTATTTGATTACAATCAGAGAGAGAAGACAAAAGTGGACAGATCAGTTAAATGTTCCCCACTTTGGCCCTGAATTAGCCATATGACAAATGCACCAAGCTCTAAAATGACAGCACTGGATACATCCTTGAAATATATGGTGACTGTTTAGCAGCAAAACTGCCACATAAGAGCAGCATAGCTGAACATGTGTGTGAAACCTTGAAAACTTGTCTTGGTCTCTGTAATGTGAAGAGGTTAATTCCGGGCCCATTTTGAAAATCCTGGCTATGTAGGGCAGATTATTTTGGGGCTTTCAGTTTTGATATTTTTAATACAGAATATTAACTGACTTCCTGACTGCTCTCTGTATGCTGAAGTGCCCTTGCTTCTCCTGATAAGAGCAGGATTTGTCCGAGTGTCTTGATGCAAAGCTTTTGCTCTCCACTCCCTAGTTCTTTTCAAAGTGCTGCCTGTTAGTTGCCAGCTGTGTTGGAAGTGGCTGCATTTTGCTGGGGCTGCAGTTTTTCAGAATCAAAGAAAATGCATTCAATTAAAATACCTCATCTATGGATTCTCTTCTATCTCTTTGTAGTTGTTGGTTTGCTAATCTGTGTGTGGTATATTCTGTGGCTGTATGTATAGTTTATCACCACAGTTTTTTTTACTTAGCCATTTTTATTTTGATTTTTCTGATGGAGGTAATAGTGATATGATGGTGGTCTTACTCTTTAAGTGAATGCTGATGGTTGTGAAGCTTCTTTCCGTTTTGGCCATATTTGGTGCTTAGGATTTGTATTCCAGTTCTGTTTCACAGATGCACAGAAATAGTCGGGAATAATTCTGATATATCAATGCGATAGTCAGGGGGAGTGGTATCTTTTTCTTTTTTGTCCAGTATTGTTTCTCATTTAAAATGCCTATCATTAAAAGGGGTTAGAAAGTTCCCAATTTAATTCCTTTTGTAGTTTTATACATTTCAGTGTGTGAGCTATAGTAGTTGGTAATTTGTCTTCATGGCTGCATCTCATGCTCCAGAGTCTAAGATTTTGTTTGGTTGGTTCAACCAGTCTCTGATCCTCTTGATAGTGAATAGTTGTCCAAAGACGTTGTTTTTTTTACATTATGAAGGCCGTCTCGGCTAGAATGTTCACAGTAGTACTAAAAGGACAAACAACCCATATTTAGTTAAAAGAGTGTTTGCTCTGAAGCTTACTTAAGGCTCGTGCTACAGATGACAATTTGCAAGGAAGGTGCTGTCTGATTGAACTATGAGAGTGTGCACAGCTTACTACACCTGGCTTCAGAAGCAGGTGGGAAAAGTGAACTTTTCTTTTTTTTGATTCAGGGGCTGTTTTTGATGCAAGGAAAACATTGGCTAATTTTAAAACTCCAGTTAAATGTCAAAGGATTGTCTTTCTACAGACCAAGTGCATAACCGGGGAAGGACTCTTGCAGTATTTGCTTATAGTTAACAGGAATTTTCTGTCTCTTTTGCAGGCATATTCTTTTATAATGGACATCCAATACGGCAGGTTGATGTTGTTGGGAATGTGGTTCTAACAAAAGAGCGAGATGCTTTTTATAACTATGGAGGTAAGAAAAAATGTGTTTTGTCTTTCTCCACTTCCTGGCCTCCAACCTTGCTAACCAACTGAATTTAAATATAATCTTATTGGACGGGGTTGCTTTTTGTCCTCAAAATACTTGTATAGTACCCCTCTGAAGATCTTAACACACTGCAAGAGCAGGGAAGTTACCCACCTGCATTTTACTGGTGGGAAAACTGAGGATAAGTAGTTGAGTATCTCACTTGAGGTCTCACAGCAAGTCTGGGTTCTATACCTTGCATTTATATTGGAGTCCAAATGCCCACTCTTACCTATATATGCAGCAGTCTTTTTCCTTTTTTTGTCAAGTGAAAATAGATCAGAGGATTTCTGTAAACTAGAAGTGATGTTCCCTTTCTGTGTCCTGAAACAGTAGGGATCCTTCCTAATTTTCCCCTCGACTCCTGTGTCTTTAAAATTCTGGCCCTAAGGTACTTGTGTCTAAACACCTTTACAAGTTTAGGGAAAGACAAACTACCAATAACTTTAACTCTCTTCTCAGTTCACTCAAGCCATTTTTCATCTGAGCCAAAAAGCCATTCTTTAATGAGACAAGCCTTCCCTTTCTACCTCAGAGCCACAAAATGTTTATGCTTCCACAGGGCACATGGCACTGCCCATACCTATGTGAAGGTGTCCACACTCCTCTGTTTTCTTTCAACTTCAAACCTTGTTATTAGTGTGGACACTGGCTGACAAGATTACCTCTTTTCCACACCCCCACACTTTCCTGCTTGGCTGTCATACTAAGTCTCAATCTATATCATCATGTGGAAACAGGACAGAGTGGAGTAGTGGAATAGCTGGCACACCTGGAAATAGAAAGGGTGGGATGGGCACTAAGGAGAACCAGGACCAGTCACTGCTCTGGCACAGATTTCCCATATGACTTTTGGCAAGTGATTTATTGTTTCTGGGCTTCAGTTCCTCATCAGTAGAACAGAAATAATAGGTCCTGCCTTGCAGGTGTTCTGTGAAGATAAATTACTTTAAAGATTGAGACCCTCAGACATCATGGTAATTGGGGCCAAGAAAGATGAGAGACAGAAGACGAGAGAGAAGAATGATTGAATATCACCTCAGACATTTCACAGTGTGATCTTCCTGCTTTTTTGAAAAGGGCTGAGCAGGTTTGGATGTTGCTGTGACTGAAATACAGTAGCAGTGCTTACAAAAATATCTGTAGGCAGGTTGGGGGTCCTCACCGTGTTGTCAGTATGCAAACTAAGGCCGTGGACAAATATACCTTTTACTGGTTTAAAAGGGAAGGGGGAGCTGCCAGTTAGGACCACACATACAGTGCAATTGTTGCGTCTGCTTCTGTGGTGATTCAGTTAAGCTAAATCGTTGTAGTTTTTACCTTGTTCCCTTCACTTGTATCACTGCAGAATCTGCAAGAGTATCTTGTGTTGTAACTGTTTGTATTGGTATGGATGGGTATCAATACAATTATTATGTCTGTCTATACCTTAACTCAAGATACCTGTCCAGAGAAGAAAAGAGGAATAAAAATGAAAGACCTCATGAAGTTAGGTGGGCTCATGGCCTTGTATATTCAGTCAGCATGGCGCTCTGTCAGCCTGTTGTCCTTGTACATCTAACTTGACTGTTCAAACTGTTCTTAGTTTATAGCCCTCAGGCTACCTGCCAGGCTGCCCCTCCCTGTCCTGTCCTCAGCTGACTCCACCCCTGCAAATTGCAACTTCTTAGACCATTTCCTGATCCCAACCCCTTGCATCTCTCAGCTAAACAGACTTTCTGATTGAGGAAGGCAGGGAGCAAGTGTTGCATCAGCTGGAATGCGTCATTCTGTTCTGTAGTTACCCTCTTTCCTTCTTTTGAAAGTGGCTTACAAAGGATTCCCTCCCTGAAGTACTTCAGTTGTTTCTCTAGTCAAAAGACTTGAAAGTCTCAGTTCTGCATAGGTGAGAAGCAGAATTTGTTTGGTAATCTCTTTCATTGGATCAACTATGTATTTGGAAGAGATTTTTGCACAAGCTTTTGGGCACAAAATGCCCTTCTTCCAGTTACCAGCAATTGGTGCCCTGAGACCAGTCTTGGTTGAAGCATCTTGATACTACAGTAACAAAATGATACTTGGCCCAATTCATGCTGCAGAGTTCATATGAGTTCATAAATGTCTTGATATAATAATACCTGAAGACCTTCTGTAGCAGTAGGTGAAGCAGTAGGTTTTGCTCTTTGCAGAGAGGAAACCCAGCTAACCAAATCGTTGTTTTATTCTAATACAGCAGTTCCTGTATCTATTTAGAACTGCTGAAATATCTGCCTACACAGCGGTTCCTGAGAAGACTAGCATTGGGACAAGCAGGCTTACCATGAAAGCTCTGGAGCTAATTTATGAATGCCACATCTTGACTTGATTATGGGGCTTGTACTGTGAGAATATCTTGGACCAGATCAGCAGGGAAACCGGAAGGTGACACAGTGACTTGAAATAAGATCCCTTCAACTTGTCAGGCTGTTACAAAACACCTAGGAGAGAGTGCAAGGGCTTTCTGCTTGGCCCCCTGCAAGCCCTATCAGCCTAGTTCTGATCTGTAGATTCAAGGAAAACTGAAAACACAAAGAATTAAAACTTTGCTTGAATTAAAGACAGGCCCCCCTGGACAGGGGCAGGGAGACCTAAGGGATCCCTGAAGTTGAAGTGTCTGGAGAGTGGGATCGGGATGAGGTTTCTGCTGAGGAGTGGAGGGTCTTTAGGATAAAGAGAGAGACATGCATTGTGGTGGTGGCTGTAAAATCCTATTCTTCTTCTGCCAGGCTTTGTTGCTCTGGTTGAACAAACATACTTCTCCGTTAACCTCATTTTTTTTTTTTTATATTACACAAGCACTCAGTGGTCTCAAATCCACACTGAGGTTTGTGCTTTGCATGCAAAGACGTGGTCCAGGCCCCAGGGAACTTGAAATCCAAAATGTTAAATGGAAGTAATTCTTTCCTATTGCAAATGAGGTTTCATAAGGCCTAATTAACAATGGAGATCCTTGGATAAAAAGGGACCTACAAGTGCCAAGTAGCATAATAGGCAGCATTTGTTTCAGTGTTTATAATTGCTTTTGCTTGTGCTTTAAACAAAACATTTTCAGTGAGGCAGATTGTAAGGGATGTGGAGTGGGGGATGCTGCGAAATGAAGAAAAACTAAAGGGAGGTATACTTCTTGGCAGGTGATTCAGAATAAGATCTGAATCGCAATATCTGAGGGGGAAATAAGCAAAGATCTTGTCCTGTTAGGGCAGAGCCAAAGCACTGGTGATCTAACACGGGCTCTGCTTGTTTGATTTTCATACCAGAATGCCAAGACCCCTTCTTCCTCCCTGCCATCTAATTATTGCAATTCTCTTACAGTGGATGACAGCACGGGTGTTATTCATTGCCTCTGCTGGAAAAGTTCCAGGGAAGTAGAAAAGCCTTTGTCAGGTAACATACAACTGCACAGTACTTTGCAGCTTTGCTTGAATACTTCTGTCTGCATGTTACTTGGATCCAATCATAAATTATCAAACCAAGAGAAAATTATGTTCACAGATATGAAAAATACTTAGTAGCATGTTCTGTAGCCTGTATCAGCCTGGGATGCTGATGCCCTAGCATAGCCTCCCTGTAGTGGACTCTCTGTGTTGTTGCCAGTGGTGATGCCAACAAAAACACAGCGCTCATTCTTTCTCTGGGCAGGGTAGAGTTTCAGTTTTACTGTGCAAAGTTGTTCAAAAGATCTTCTTCCTGTGTCTCCCTTTTGTGATATCATCTGGTGATGAAATATCCTGGACAGTTGCCAGTTGTTACAACTGCAGTTCCAAAATTAACCAGTTGACTTCGTTATACGGGCTCCAGCCTATCCATTTATAGTACAAATAATTTGTCAGTTTCTGTGTATGTTTTTCTCAAGTTCCTGTATGCATGTGCCATTGATAACTAGCCTGCAAGTAACCTATAATAGATTGAAAATGCAGAGTAGTTCCAAATGCACCAAGTGGTGACTCATTTCTTGCCCACGAGCAGTGAAATAAGTAATTAGTATCTAACTTTCTCTCCTAAACAACCCTTTCCCCTTCCTTCTCATCCAGCTATTTTACATTTACCCATTCTCAAAGATCAGAAATATGGGGAAAGACCCTACTTTGCACCAGATCAAGTTCACTTCAGTAAGTTTAGGATCAGGCCTATATCTCTCTTGATGTCAGTTATACACGAGGAGCAGGATTCTCTGATTTATCTAAACAAATTAAGCTCTGTTGAGCTCATTTACAACAGCAGAGCATGTTGTTTTATGTAGTTAAAGCTTAATGCTCGCATAAGATGTCCATTGATTATACCTTATCACCAGATTAAATTGAGCTCACAATGTTGGATATGGAAGGTGAATTAAAGTGAAGCCTCATCTGGAGTACTGTGTCCAGTTTGGGGTCTCATACTTTAAGAAGTATGTGAACAGATTAGGAAGAGTCCAGTGCAGAGCAATAAAATGATGAGGGGCCTGGGAGGCAAGATTTTAGGAAGAACTAGACTAGAACTGAAAGAACTAGGGTTAATCTGGAGAAGAGAAGACTGAGGGGGGATTTGGTAATAGTCTTCAAATACCTGAAGGCAATTAGAGAGGACAGAGATGGGCTTTTCTCTGTGGCCACAGGGTACAAGGACTAGGAACAATGGCCTCAAGCTGCAGCAGTGGAAATTGAGGTTGGAGATTAGGAGGAACTTTCTGATTCTGAGGGTGATCAAGCATTGGAATGGGCTATGTAGAGAAGCTGTGGAATCTCCATTCGTGGAAATGTTGAATAGCAGGATAGACAAACACTTGGCTGAGATGGTTTAGTTGGGGACAATCCTGCCTTGACCACAGGGGCTGAATTAGATGACCTAATGAAGTCCCTTCCAGCCCTTCTTTCCTATGGTCCTGTGGTCTACTCTGTCAAGGGAACAAATGCCAGGGGAGAAAAGAATAATTAAAGCTAAAGATTCAGGGGAATTTTGACACCAGAACAAATGGACATAAACTGGCCAGGAATAAGTTCAGGCTGGAAATCATATTTTTAACCATCAGAGGAATGTGGCTGTGGAACAGCCTTTCCATAGGAGTAGAGGGACAAGAAACCTAACTAGCCATCAGAAGGAACTTGATCAGTTTATGGAAGGAATAATATAACAAGGCAGCTCACAGGAGCAAGAACTTGCCTTAAAGAAACCTGCTGGAAAATCAAATCCTATAATGTCAGGTTTTTTAAAAGGGAGCCTGTGTCTGTAGTTTTTGATCAGTAATCCCTTTCCATTTGTAAGATTCACTGTATTTGGTAAAATCATCAGTCGGAGGTAACAGAAAGACTTTTTCCAGCCTGTTGCAGTCGTAGTTGGAGTGTAAAAGCTAATTAGGTTTTAAGTTATAAGGTGTGGGCTTGACTCTCACAGAGTGGTGTTACATAAATGTGGTGTCATTACAGGCACAAAAGCCTTTGACTTATTTCAGATGACTTGGGCTTTCGTTTTATACAAAGGCTTGATTGACAGCCTGCAACATGCTACCCAATTTACAATCAGTATCTTTTTTGATATTTTGAAGCAGAGTTCAGTGTGTTCATGGTGAGAACTGTAGCTGCTATCTCTCCCTCAGGAACCAAGCTGAACAGTTTTAAATAAAAAAACCCCCCTAAATTTAGTAAAATGGCACTTTGCAGCTTTGTTGCCTGGAAGCTCCGGTGCACCCTCTTTTGTAAGATGGAGGCTCAGCAAAGGTCCATCTTGAGAATGATACAAGGGGAGCAGCGCTCTTGAGGCCTACTCTATATGACACAATATTTGGTAACAAAACTCCAGTTTTGCTGGTAAAACATTGAGTACATCCATGCCGAAAGTACCTATTCACTAGCAGAGCCCTCCACCCTGCCAGCAGAGTTACTCCACTTTGACTGAACATAGTAAGACTTCTTCCAACAGAAGGTGTGTGTAGACACTCCTGTGCCTTCTGTTGGGTGCTACAGGGCCCTTCATGAATGCTATCAGCCACCTGATGTCTGTTTCAGAACCTATAGCAGTGAGTGAGGGGTTTGGTCTAGATACGACCTATGCTTATCTCTGATCTCCCCATAGCTTTTGCATCTCAGCCAAGCGCATCTAGAAATCTGGCTCTGCTTGGACATGTGAAGAAGCTCCAGGAAGTGGTGCATCAGAAAACCAAGCTGGAAATTGGGGATGTTGTCAGAGTCAGAGGCTATATGCGGCTATACAGAGGGCAGCGAGAAATTCAGGCCTCCACCTACTGTGAGTATTCTCCATTGCTGTTGAGAGAAAGTGTGTGTGTAGTTTGGTTTTTACACTGAATTTGTGAGAAGATCAGAGTTGGGCAGTAGCATAATTAAGTTGCGGGAGTAGCAGAAGGCACAAGTCCAGGGCACTGACTAGGAAGGGTGCACCAGAATTGCCTTCTAGCAGTCTTTGCCACAGAAAGGGCAGCTCTGCGCTGTCCCAAATCTGTGGTTACTTTGGCAATATTGGTGGTGATTGTCACAGATTTAGTCTAGACCTGAACTTTGGACAGACATTTGTGTGGCAGCCTCACTTTTATCTCATGTTCTACTAAGTTTCCTGATTCTGCATAGTAACTCTGGATATCTTGGGCACAATTCACAGGTGCAGACCCTGTGTCTTGCAACTCTCTTGGCATTGGGACCCTTCTGTCTACTGCTGGACCCTTGGACCAGTGCCTTCAGTTACTTAGAGTAAACCTGATGTGAGTGCTGGTTTTGCTGGTTATGGCAACAAAGAGGGAGACAATGGTTTAGGAAAAGAATATCTTGCATATGCATGTTCTACTCTTCACTGCAAGAGAGCTATATATCTAGGGAAAACAATAAACAATCTCCTGCATGCACTTCCCTTTGGTCTGACCTTACCCGTCTAAGAGTTTTTGGATAAGGCATAAATGTTACTTCAGGGACAGTGGTACTTCTGTCTCCACATTAGAATTACTGTTTCTATGGTGAAATGATTTGTTTGGTTTGGAGAAACATGCTTTAAAAATCTGTAACTCTTTGGGCTGGAGGAAGGAATGGTAGCTCCCCTCAGCTACATACACAGGCTTTGGAGGAATAGGCTCTTCTCCCCAAACAAGCTTGTCTGAAGAAATAATCTGTTCAAGAGTGAAGGCCTAGCCAGCTACTGAGCCCATGTTTCACTGGGGGAGGGCCATTTAATGCTGATGGACACTAGTTTATGTTGTCACACCTTTTTCAAGCAGAGCTGTTCACTTGGTGTGAGATCCCATAGGCTCAGAATGGCTGTTACAAGCAGAATTTGTAACTGGATCCACTACAACAAGTATCTATCTTATCTCTTAAATGCTTTTAGAATTTTGCAGTCTTATATTGGGATTAGCAACATGACATTATCAAGTCAATGGAGAACAAAACTTGCGTTGCTCCTAAAGGAGCTGGTAAGAGAGTTTCATGTGTTAGTGCATAGGTTATATAGTAGCAGCTCCACTGTGCTAGCCAAAAAAAGTTAATATGGGGTTTGTCTCTCCTTGCAGACAAGGTGGATGATCCCATGTACGATGTTCAGATTTCAAGAATGCTGGAACTCCCCTATCTCTACAGGGAAGTTTATGATAAGCCCTTCCAAATGCCACAGGAGGCACAGAGGTAAATAGGACACTTGCTTCAGTGTTCAGGGTGGGGATGGAATTTTCACTGTCAATCACACATTATGATAGTGCTTCAAGGCCAAACAAGAATGGGCTTCATTGTGCAAGGTGGTGTACAGTGCCCAGTATAGGCAGTGCCTGCCCCATTGGATGGGGAGGGAGATGTAACACAAAAGCAGAGTGAGTGTGGTGGCAGCAAATATCACATTAGTTAAGTGACTCTTTTTGGGGTAAGTGTTAGTCCTCATTAAATTTGGCTACTAGGACAGACATTGCTACAGAGATTCACATTAAATTGTGACGTGAAGCATATTGTGCAGAATCCTGTTTCATTGGAGAATAGGCTTTAAAACCAACGGCCCATCCCTTAGCTTAGGGGCAGAACTTGAGCCATATCTTTCTGTTAGCCAAATGAAAATGTGACTAGTTGCCTCAGACTCATGGCCTTTTGGGGTAGGAGAGCAAAAGAGAAACTTCAGAGGGAACCTTGCCCTCCAGTCCCACCTCCTCCCCATATTCACATGCACACTTAGGAGAGCTAACTCCTTTCTTCAGAGGATTCATGTCTTTAAGAGGAGTTTGAAAGGGAAGGGGAGCTTATCTATTGTACTGGGATGTTCCTAAGTGGACAGCCCATAAATCATGAGTTACTGAAAAGCCTTGAAGGCAGCAACCATAGAGGGGTCTAGATATTCTACTTCAGCAAGTGAAGTAGAAGTGAAGTAACATCAAAGGAGTGATTACAGCTCAACTGGAAGAATCTTAATTGCCATGAAACTCTGACTACATATGCTGGGTTACATGCATTGTCATCTTGCAATGTCTAAGATTCTACCTGTATTAAAATGTGCCTTAGTACAGCCCAATGCAAAGTTATGCACATACTAAATGAGCACTTGGAAAGCAGTTATTCTGAAAATGAGTGAAGGGTCATAGTGGACAGGGAGATGAATCAAAGCTCCCAGTGGTGAAACGGAGGAGTGGGTAGGTGATTTTTTTTACCTCCAAATATGAATCATAGAAAATTATGGTCATATGGCACCATTGAGAGCAGTCTTGGAATACTGTTTCCAGTTTTGTCTATATCTTTTGTTTATTTTTTTAAACATTGACACAAATTAGTGAGAATATAGAAATGAGCCATTAAAATTATCAAAGGGCTGGAAACAATGCCTTAAAGCAAATGTCAGGTTAACCGGGTTCAGGGGGCTGGATGAGTAAGTAGCTTGGGGCTGGTCCATGGGCTGGATGAGCAGAATGGGGCTGGTCTGTGCCAGACTGGGCCCATGGACTGCCCCTGTACTAAATCCAATGCACACGACTAGTCTGGTGCGTGCTACAAGCACCGCAGACGGCTCTGTGTCATGCGTGTGCTGGATCTAACCGCATGTGCTGGATCCATTGTGCATGCCTCACGGAATGCATGGGTCCAGTACAAGACCCATGTGTGATACAGTGGACCAGATGATAGGGCTTCATGGGCTGTATCTTTGACACCTTTTCCTTAAAAAGAGGACCTAAAGGAGCTCTCTGTCTTCTGCTTATTAAAAGCGATCAAGAAAGGATTTGTTCTTGGTGTGCAAGTACTTCCATGGTGCGAAAATACGGGGTCAAGAAGGTGCTTAAATCTAGTAGAGGAAGATATAGGAAAAACCAATGGCTGGAAGCTGACATCAGTGCAATTCAAATTCAGTACTTCTTTTTTTTTTGTCCAATCTCCATGGGTAATTAACCTTGGAACAAATAAACTTGGGGAAGTGATGATTTGTCCATTGCCGGAGGTCTTCAGTCCAGGACTGGATGCTGTGCTGTTCAGGAAATGTACTCTGTATCCAAATGCAAATTAATGGATCCAGATTAGAGTCATTTGGGTGAAACAATGGATGGTGAAATACAGAAGGTCAAACTAAAAGATCTCTTTAGCTTTAAACTCTAACCTTCACTAGCTTGTGATCAGCCTAGAGCTGTCTAGAAACAAAAGCTTCTGCTATTGGAAAGGAAGAAGCTTTCCTTTCTGCAAAGGTATCCTTTAGTGTCTAAATATTGTTGGCCCTAGAGCAGATTTTAAGAACTGTTACTGTACAGGACAGGTATGAGTTAAGTGTTAATGTTCTTATTTTAGACTTTATAAAGATTCTCACACGTGTTAGTTGATAGTGCCCGGGAAAATACAGAGTGCAGTGAGGGAGTCAAAGATGCAGAATGAAACCAATTCATTACGTGCAATTTATGGCTCTTGAGCATAATACAGTTTCAGAAACAGGTCCTTACGTAACTAGCCTGATTGCAAAAGTGCTGTGTGTCTAATAGTTCCCACGGACTGCAGATAGCAGTTTTATCTATCAAAATGCCAAGAATTCACCTCTCCAGTAGGATGAGGTAAGGTTCTTGATATGATTGGTTGTGAAACAGCAGATCTTGAAATTATGACTTCAGTTCTGACTTCTTGAAAGTCTGACTTCAGTGGTAGCTGAAACACATGGATGCTTAGCACAGATGAAAATTACCCCACCTATTTAGGAGTGTAATTTTTTTTTTTTCAAAAGTACCCAAGGGTAATACCTAAGGTGATGTATACCAAGATGTTCTGTCTGTGCTAGCTCCTTAACCAGGACTGATATTGCTCTGCTGCAGTAAGAGGACATCACTTAGTTGCACTAACATGGCTTTATCACTGCTGGTTCATAGTTGTAGTACAGTGGGCCTTGGCATTGCACTGTGTGGTGCCCTATGGATGGGCCTATTCTGAGCTGGATATGCAAGTCCCATCAGTCTCCACTCTTGAAAAGCCCATGTCTGGGAGCCTGTTTTTGAAAAGCTTGACTGCATACTTGTTTTGCCTTGTGATATCTTCACATGTTTTTTATCCTTATAGTGACCTGAACTTTTCAATGGATATGTTCATTGAGAAAGTGAAAGACTTCCTAGTGAAGAACAGAATCCAGACCTTCTATGCACAGGAGCTGGAAACGGTTAAGTCTCTGGTGTCACTAGCCAGTGAGCCAGCACCCAGTACCAGCCTGCAGCAGGTGAGTGCATGTACTGCTAGCTTCTGAGCATTCAATTGGTTAAAATAATGCCTCTCACTTGCTATCAGATGCGTGTATGTTAAAATTGCCTGGCTTGTGGCTCTTCTTTAGGCACCTAAATGCTGATTTCTGATCTTTAGGTATAGACATGAATTATTGATGTCTCATGTCATTTGAGCTGTTCAATACTTGAGAAAAGCACAGGTTAAGAATCTTTCATTGGGAATAACCAGTGCTGGCTGCAGGAGTGCACAGATAATGTCTGCATTCAACCTCTGACCTGCCCAGATATGTGGCAGCAGCACCAGTGAGGGAGAGCTCTTGAAGACACAGCAGCAGTTTGTGGGCTAGGTCTGAGGAGCTCTGAACTTGGTCAGGGAAAGATGATTGAAACCCAGTGCATTATCACTGGCCTAAACTTAGAAAGGAAGTTGTAATGAGTAAGTGGACATCTGTTCCTCGTTACAAACCCATCTTGTGAGACATCTCCAGTTGTGGAGATCAGAAGCTTAGATCTAATTGGAATTAGAACTGGACATAAAGCCACTGTCTGTTTGAGAAATGGGATGCTTTTTAGCATGCTAGTGTGGACTCTGCTTCTCATTCCAGGGCTGATGAAATGAAGAGGTTTTTTTTTTGTGGGGTTCTAATATGCTGAGACTGTTACTTTTTTAATAAAAATAACTGTCCGGATTCTCAGCTAGTGTAAACTGGCCTATCTCTGATAAAGTTAATAGAGTTATGCTAACTTACATCAACTGAAGGGTTTGGTTTATACACACCTATAATTTTAAGTGCTCAGGTGTGTTACTAATGACAGCTGAGGTCATTAAAGTGGAGTGTTATAACTGATTCCTTTTTTTCCCCCTTAATTTTTGTAGTTTTCACTATCCCTCGAGGAGAAAATGCATGCCAGCCTGTTACAAGGCTTGACTGTGATGTACCAGCAAAACATCATGGCTGCTTATAGATGTGAAAACCCGGCCCCAGCACTTTACTTTAAGGTCAGCGTGCCCCTGCGCTGAGCACAGTGCATGCCTAGAAAAGGTATTGCATTAGTGTGACCCAGCTCACCCAACATCTGTATAGATTGCATGCTTCAAGGGATCTTTTTGGCACTTTTATGTAATAGCTGATTGAAAAAAGCACCAAAAAGCCCTGCTAAAGTGCTCGATCTACACAGACATTGGGGAGCCGGGTTGAACTAATGTGCAACCTCTTCCAGTAAAGTGCTGTTTTTTTTAATTTTGTTTTCAACATCTGTCAGTAGTCTTTGTATCCAGATTATAAATCTTTAAAAAATTCTAGTCGAATGAATTAAAACAATATGAATAGGAATATTTTTTGTTTTGGCTTTGGAAAACTGCTTCCTAATGGTTGCTTCCTGGTCACCATTTATTTTCTTTTCCTTTTATTAAAGACATTTTGTTATATTTCAAAGCAAACAAGCATGGATTTTGACAGAAGCCCTGCTGTTGTGCAGTAGAGAAACAGTACAAAACATCAAACACAGGTACTGGGATAAACTTTTCCGTCCCCCCAAACTAGCTAAAAATAAAGGATTCAAGCTAAGAGCCTGTAACACTCTGGGTTATAGAAAGGCATGATCACTGTAACTAAGTTTCAGCACTAAATGGTAGCTTCATAGGACTCGCAGGGTTCATGGGATACATTGTTTTCTTCCCTGGCTGGCTTTGTAATCTCTTCTGTGTATACTGCACCCAGCACAATGGATCCCAGTTATATAAAATCCGTTGCTGCTGTTCCTGATGCAAGTGACTTTTACAGATCCCAGGAAATTGCACACCTCTGCAATCCTTCAGGAATTGCACTTCCTCCATGATGCCTGTTGCTTTTAATCCACCTTGAAGTATTGTATTTATGTTAGAATCTGCAGCTTTACCATGATATGCGCACCTCTTCAGACCACCTCTTGGTAATATCCTTGGAATGCATTTTATTGTCCACTTCAGTCATTTCCAGCCACAATTTTTGCATAGCCTACAAAGGGCTCAGTGCACTGCTTGGTCCTAGACACACAGGGCACCCATACATGTGCTTGATGCCTGCTCCAACACATTCTAATTGGAGCAAGTCAGAGCAGCCTTGATTAATTGAGACTGCTGCAGTGTGCTAATTAGCATGCTCCAGCAGCCTTGGCATCATGTGTATTCAGGGTCTTTGTGGTTCAAAATGGTGGCAGGACTGTTTTAACTTAAGCTTGTTGAACAAACTTTTGTTAAAGTGCCCCCCCCC